CATCCCTCTGAGGAAATACTGTAGTTGGAATTTATGATGTTTTTATCAAAATTGATAGTGTTATCACAAATGGTGCCAAGGTTATGTCTCACTAGATAAAGACAGCGGGTTCCTCACAAAACTGAGCTTCATACTATCAAATTACTTTCAGCTATCAGCATGGAAATGTTTTATCAGCCCCTCTGGGATGTGGTGATGTCTTGATTACAATAATTAATCAATTCGAAATTCAACCAATCCTTGTGAATTGTGCACAAACTTTAAATTTTGTCCAATCCCTGCAACTTTTCAGGAAATTTGACCGATCATCGTAGTTTCCCATGAGTCACCAAACTTACTTCTTGTTTCTGGCAATGAAGATGCAAACGTGCCACACAAACGTCTCACATTTACCAACAAAAATCACAGCTAAAGACTGTGCAATACAGCTCCCTAAGGATCGAAAAAAGTTGTCGATTGACAAACACTTTTGGGACGCAAAGCACACCCGGAGAACGGCTGACACATGTAGACAATAGACGAGACAAATCGCCATGACTGTTGCATCCGAAATCAAGGTGAGTTAGATTATATGTGCACGGTGAGGGGTAACATTTGTGTAGTATGAATCAGAAACTAAGAACAGTGTTGTTTTGACCGGAAGAATTTGCTCTTGATTTTTAATAAATACACACAAACAAATTTGCAGCAATTTATGGAATTTTTATTTACTCCCACAATTTCACCTAAAAAAAGTCTTAAAACACTGCATTTTTTTTGACATTTTAGGTCACAACAATGCCCACCAAAAATGGCAAAATCCTGTAAGTACTATTTTATCATCCCGAGTAATGCTGCAGTCACCTGTCCTAAACTTTCCCATTCATTTACACTATAACTGTTTTTGAATGTGACTGAAAACACACTGCCACTCTTGTACAGATAATCATCCAGTGACATGGCTCTCATAAGGATAATTACAATCACAGCATACCGTAAATCTTCAATTAAAAGCCTAGTCCCGATTACACACCTAGTTTCCTTTACTAACCCGGTGTTTCTACACATTTTGAAAAATAAAGGCCTGTCTCAATTACAGGCCTGGTCTGGTTGCCAGGCAATTCATTTCTATAGAAGTTTTTTGGATGTATAAACTAGGTTGTTGGCAACCCAGTTAAGCTAACGTTAGATAGCTGTATAAATCGCACATACAAATATGAATGTTTTTTGTCAGTGTAGACATGCTACACATTAGCTATTTTTTCCATCCAAAACTGATTCGAATAATTGGGAAATGCGCATTAAAAGAAATACGAATCCTGTGTGTTTCCATTAAATGTACGGACTTTGGTGAAAACTACGAACTCGAAACAAAACAAGTCTGGCATTCTTCTTCTTCTACTTTTTCTGGCGGTTGGAAACCAGCTTGTAAATGCATTACCGCCTTCCCGACCCGGAGTGTGGATATCACCATGGAGAGAGGTGCACTACGTCAGACTTAATTCGAACATAACTGTTTCCATCCCCCGTTTTGCGAATCAACATTTTTTTAAATCAACCAAAACCCGGCTAAAGCAAGCGTATTTTAGTTTGTGCGAATCAGGGGATTTTAATTCGAATTTTGGCGTTTCCATCATAATTTTCTGATGCGATACTTCTAGATGCGCATCTAAACAGGCTGATGGAAACATGGCTATTGTTAGCTTGGTTAGATTCTCCACAATTCAGTCATTCAGTTCACTTTACCAAAACCACAAGCACCTAAGAATGATTCATTCAGATTTACCGGCATGATAGACAAGAGGGACAAAAAAAAAAAAAAAACTCCATCCAACTCCATTCCTCTAAAGCTGTCAGAAAGTCAGAATATGTGTTCAATCCTCAATAACCCAGTAAGTTATCTATATTTCCTTAGTCCATAAGGGTTGACTGATCAAAAAAAATCAAAAAGGTTTTTCCATGAAAATTAATCCATGTTATTAATATTGTTTTAACAGGATTAAGTGGTGTTGCTATGCTGGGTGCCGTAAAACGAGTGTCATAACGTTCACTCTCTGATGCCCTGTCTCTCAGAGACAGGGCATCATGACGTTCACTCTCTGATGCCCTGTCTCTCAGAGTTAGATCAAATGAATAATACATAACTGATATGTTAAAAGAAGCCTAATTTTTTCTACAAGTAATGTTCATACAACTTCAAATAATATGAATGTACTCTCCCATCTCTGCTGAGCAAGAGTTTTGTGTAAAAGGAATTAAAGCACTGTCGCCTGTCCCAAATATAAGCATGTTGAGCGATTTAAGCAAATAATAGCCTGGGCTACTAATCGAAGTTTTACGGTAGTTATTTTATTCCCCTGAGCCAACTGGTGGCAGCATAACAAGCTGTAAAAACAACATCACCTTAACATTGTTGGCATTCATTTAGATTTTGTATTTCTGACCACCTGGCGAATATATTCACTGACCTTTTAGCTCTGTTTGGGTCTCCACCAATTCCTGAGGGTAATGTATGTCTCTTTAGCTGTAAAATGCTTCAACATGTTAGTCGCTAACATTGCATGTCTGCCATTTGGTGCTGGGCAGACAATCGTAATGGAAGTGCTGAGCAGTGAACCAAAAGGACCGTACCACTCTGTACCACCTGTATATTTAGCCATATTTTGGTGAAGTTACAACACTTTGGAACATACTGAAGCAGTGAGATGCATTGTTCCTCAGGACTGGTTAAAGGACAGTCTCTGGAAACGTTGACACATTTTGTCCTCTGTAAAAACCGCTCATCATGATCACCATGGATTCAAGCTGACCACAGCCTCCATATTCTCCATGAAGGACAGAAATACAACCATATTACAGCCACATCTTAAACATGAGGGAAAGATCTTGATACTCAGAGGAAAAATGAACACACACTGCTATTTAAAAAGAATTAGCTGTAAAACCCACCTTTCCTTAATCCTATACACAATTTGAGTGGGACAGCCTTACTTGGTCTGGTATGACCATAAGCTAAAAAGTGACTAATGTTAGCCAACATTAGCTAACGTTAGACAGCTGTTTAACTGATTTTGTGTCTCTTCTTGACTTTACTGGCACACCATGTTTGATTATGCCTAAGTTTCATAGGCTTAAAATATAAGGTTCAGTAATTTCATACATTTAACAGTTTATACATTTTATTTGGGCTTTCAGACCTTTCCCAACTTTCCTCTTTACTCTGCGATGGTGTGACTAGAGTCAACTCATAGATTAGTTTTACATTAACTGAATTCTTCTGAGGTTAAGAGGTACAAAATGCACCAGCTGTGTCTGAAGTACAGATAATACACAGAGCTTGTTGTGAGCAGTTTCATGCAGGGACTATTTTCTTTCTACCGAACTACACCTGCCAACCATATCACTGTAGAAGGAAGTGTGCATCTACTGCTAGCTCACCTAGCACCAATGAGCTAGCTAACATTGCAGCTCAGCCGAGGAGGACACCATTAATGTTAAGGGTACATCTCAGCTATCACAAGCACACGCGTCTTGTCCATGAGTAGATGCACACTTCCTTCTGGTGGGCAAGTGTGGTTCGGCAGAGAGGAAATAGTCTTCACACAAAACTGCTCACACAAAGGTCTGTGGATTATCTTGAGTAACTGGGTCATGAATTCCAGAAAGAGACATTGCTGTTGAGTTTTTTAAATGCACCACAAGCCGAGTGTCATCTAGTTCCATTACAATGGAGAGAATTCAGACATCTCTACGGCCGATATCTTCAACACTCTGCAATTCACACCAGAACAATCTTGATTGATAAATAGAACTACAGGTAAGAGGTAAAATATGTAGTTTTGATTTTTGGGTGAACTGTCCCTTTAATATCTGTAGTTTAAAAGAAATCACCTTACACACTCTTCCATGGCACGGCTTAGAGGTAACACAAAACCCCTCTTAGGTAAGTTTTTCTAAACTGTATGTATAAATCTTTTGTCTTTTCCTCTTGCACTTTTAACCTTTTTTCCCCAAAATAAAATAAAGTTTAGAATTGATTGTATGTCTGAATACAATGGCATTTACCAGCTCTGACATCTCTATGGCTGATATATCTATATTGATAAATAGCGCTACAAGTAAGCAGGAGAAAATGCGTTTTTGATATTTGGGGTGACCTGTCCCTTTACATGTTAGCAGTAAAATAACAAACCTTTGTATATGGCTGTAAGGCGAATAGTGTACTGCAAGGATGACATTTTTTTGTAGGCTGACAGAGAGGTTAGCATCATCATTTGGTTCCCTCAACAAAAAGCCAGTGAGATTTCTCCAATGGATTTTGGATTACTTCAGAAAATAAACAAAAGTTTGATACTTGCATGTTTTTTCCAGCTAGATAATCCTCACAAATGAACACCACTTTTATGATTCTTGAAGCGTACATGCAACTGCCAAAAGTAAAAAGCTGATGTTAGGCTATAAACAAACACTAAGTTGGATGACTTGACGTCACCACCACTGCGTGATGACGTTCTGTTGTCTCGTTTAGCCACTTGTTAGCAACCACCTTTTTTAAGACACCTAGAAGTTTCAAAATTCACAAGTGGGGTATTTACTGATGTATTTCATGTCGTAGAACAAAACATGATAGTCTCTCAAGCTTATGTTAACCACAGACCTCATTTCAGACATCTAACTGAAAACTCACTGACTTCAGAATGATGAAAGCAAGATTTCAAAATGCTAACTCATTTCCATGTTTTAGGATTCATTCCTGCATCAGTTTATATATTAAATTTAGAAACGGGCAACTGTAAGAGGTTATTGTCGACTTGTAGCACAACACTTTGTTTTTTATTGATCAAGATGGAGCACAGCAAAATAATGATGCAGAAGAAACTAACAGTGAAGGTCTTGAGTCGAGTTGATAGACGTTAAATATTACATCTATCGGACACCTCAGATGTTCAGTACAGTTTTATAATCATATAAAATGATGCCTATACTGTATAAAACCAGTGAAAGGAATCACAACAGAAGCCTTTTATCAGACATATATTAAGAATTTTAATCTATTATAGTGAAATGTTAAGGCATACATACAAATGTTTTCTTTACAAAAGTTCACAGCAACATCACAATGGGTCAACCAGCTGAAGCAAGGCACCATAACAGAACCTTTTGTATTTGTCACGGGTTATAACTTAGAAGATGAGTACATCTTTGGCTCCATAAAACAAAAAAGTACATAAATGAAAAAAACAACTACAAAATATATTAACTTCTCTCACTTCAAATAGCCATTCATGTAAACACATTCCAAAAAAAAGTGAAGGGCATTAATACGTCAGGCTGACACACTGCATCGACCAGCAAACGCACTGTGACGGGAAATATGGTGACAGAGTTTGAAGGGGAATACCAGTCAAATGTGAGATTTCACATGCAATTTGTGTAACTTCAGACATAACTCCTGTTGATAATGTTGTAGTGATGATAATTCAGCAATTCTGTACAGTTAGCTATTAGCTTAGCGGCATTTCCCTCTGAAGAGGAAAAATCTGAGCTGTGGCACATTCCAGTTAAATAAAAACACAGTCCTGGAGAACAGGAGTCTACATTCAGCAGTGTTCAGTGATCCTACACTATGCAGGGAGAAATAAATAGAAGATTCCATGTTAAAGATGTCGTCCACTCAGAAATGTGAGATACTTGAGCAATGGGGGAAACACAGCCGAATATAACACAGTGATGGGGACAACAAACAGAGTAGCAAATGCAGGCCAATTATAGTTGGCCATTTCTGTGCTCGCAGTAGAACCAGCTACCGCGACTCCGAAGGAATAACCAGCCCCAGGAAGAGAACATGTGGAGAATGCGTGCCATTTTAACAAGGGCGAGGGGTCAGACTTTAGATAGCCTTTTTCTTTAACGGGAGCATTCCCTCAGCGGGGGAATGTGAGAAGATTAGCTCCAGCATGTCAGCGGAGCGGAGCGAAATGCTGGGCAGTCGCCATCGGAGGCCCCCAACATTAACCCAGGATCTGGAAAATTAGACCCCCTGTGAAACACTGTCAATCCTCGCGGGCTTTTTTAAGAGAGAAGTGAGCAGACGTTCTACAAATCCTCTGCTGAGCTGTGAGCAGCGGCCTGAATGTATTTTAAAGAGAGGAGCAACTGTTAATTCAGGCTCTGTTAAACAGAATAATCCCCAAACATGGCATGAGTACATGGAGGATGCTTACATTATAAATATTCCAATGACTTTCAGAGGGCATGATAATAGGCTCGCTACTGGAAATTCAAAATAAACCAAACAAAAAAATAAAAGGATTGCGCGCTTAATCCAGAAAAGTGAGTATAAATGTGTATAATTTAAGTGGAGCGCAACAAGGCGAGCGATCCTTATTCTTCTCACCTCTCACACATAAAAGTAACATCACAATATGAGCAGCATTTACAAATATAAATACAATACACAACTCAAAACGTAACATGCACAACATATGTATATGCACCGTCAGCAGCCCAGTTCCTATCACAATGCAGAGTACTGTCCAGGTACCTTGGAAATTTCTGTCTCTTGCAGCAAATGTCAGAGTTTGTGCAGCAGAAGGAAAGCTCAGCTCTCCTCTGCAAACTGCGCCACATTCTGGACTCTGCATGTTGTTGCAGGTGAAACCGCTCAGGTAGGACGATCAGTCTTTCTGTATTTGTGGTTAGACATAGACGAGGACTTTGGCCAAAGACTCTGTCATCGTTGGCTGTCACTGTTCAGTCTGTGTCTGTGCAGCGAGCGCTCAAATGAGAATTTCAACCACCTCTGCGTCTGAGCTGTTGATGCTCTTGAATGTCTTGAGTAGTTCCTCTGAGGAGTCTACAGTGAAGATAAGAAGAGCAAATTAGAAAAGCACTTGTTTAATATAAAGTTAGGATCAGTCAGTCCTGATCCAGGGTCTGGTTACATTTTAAATAGTGCTCATATAGAGAGCCGACAGTTAGAGTTTGTGTGGTCAAATGCTTAAATGAACAGTAAACCCACCACTTGTAGCTGCTGAGATCACCTCAGACGTCTTTAGCTTCTCAGGCTCTGCTGTGGGCTCAGGCTCCTGTGGGGCCTCGTCACTTTGGGTGCTGGAATCTCGGCTTGGGCCCCTGGGCCCCATGCGGGGTTGGGGTTGCAGCGCAGCAGCAGCAGCACCTGTCTGGTCATCTGAGAGGCTCTTTCCTACAAATGCAGACAAAGAGAGGAGGCTGCTTAATTACCCGCTTGCATCCACATTTACACACTGCAGAACATCTGCCCCGCGGAGTTGTTCCCATGACTATTCTGGATCGGGCTATTCTGGAGTGAGAGATGATATGCATTCCAGTTTAAAAACACGTTGTCCATTTGAGGGGCATGAAAGGGGTTGTCTCCTACTTAATACTTTTTTTTAGGAAGTGCACATTCTGTCTGGCGACACTGACAAGTCTGCCAGTTGTCGCTCGATAGCATGTGTCGTTAAAGGGTAACGTTGGTATTTTCCAACCTTTACCATGTTTTTGTGTCTTAGTGACTAATGGGAACAACAATTCTTGAAACTGGTCCAGTATTGAGCGATACCGCAGCAGAGGGATTGACGAAACAGGCTCCAATGTAACCACTCCGGTCATTTGTGCACCGTCACATCCACTTAAAGTAGTTGTTTTTGCCACTGACAGGCTCAGATTGTTATTTTAAGTGTCTGACAACATCATGGAAAAGATCCCTACAGAGATAGACCTTTTTGTTTAAGAGTAAGATCCTTTTTGTTTAACCAGAGACTGCCCTAAAATCGCTATCGCCAAACAAAAAGGTCTGTCTCTATAGGATTCTTTCCATAATGTTGTCAGACACTTAAAATCACAGTCTGAGCCTGTCAGTGACAAAAACAAACACCTTTAATGGACGTCCATTGATTGGTTACATTGCAGCCTCTCACTTAGCGCCAAACCAATTTAAAAAAAAACGTTTTTCCCATTCGTCACTTAGACACAAAAACACAGGTAAATAGGGTCCAGGTTGGTAAATACCAAACTTTTAAGATGCATAATTCCCCTCTGTTGCCTGAAGCGTGAGCGCATCTTGTACTCACCTTTACTCTCTGTGCTGCTGGCCATAGTGTTGATGGAGGGGACGGATCTGGCGAGACGAAGCCCCTGTTTCTCCAGCTTGCCCTCCTCCCACCTGGAGCGCTGCTGAATGACTTTAATCACAGCATCCTTCTCCAGGAGCTGAGCGTGAAGTGCGCGGATCCTTAACACATGAAAGACACCATTAGATCAAAAACCCAAACAACAGAAGTGGGCATAAGCTTGTACATGGAACAAAGATGTGGAGGGATGTTTACCTGTTCTCCATCTCCTGATGTCTGTGACTCGACAAAGGAAGGTCTTCATTAAAACTGTTGTTTGGTGAATGTCGAGGTGAATGTTTGATGATGGTTGTATCTCTGCAAATAAAATAGACTGTTAAAGAACTTCCATAAACTTATATACATTTCTAACTATAGGTTATTTTCATCTTTGATATATCTCTCTATGTTTTGTCGTACCTTTGTGCTGCAGCAGTGGCAGCTGCATCCATTGCAAACTGCCTCATGGTGCTCTCCTCCAGGTACTTCTGCTCCCACTTGGTGATGTCTGCCTCCAGGGCCAGAATACGCTCCTCCCTCTCCCTCAGCTGCTGCTGCAACGTGGAGGAGCTCGGTTCTGAAGCCATGGGGTCAGCTGCCTCTTTCTGAGACTGATATCACAAACATAACAAATGAAAATTAGTGACCTTAAAGGTGCTGGTATGCTTCCAGCATTTATACCAAGCTAAGCTAATCAACACCTGGCTCTTGCTTCATATGTAGCGTACAGACCTGAGAGTGGTATCAGTCTTCTCATTTAACATCTACAAAGAAACACAAGTCTGTTTAATGACTTCCTCTCCTCACCTGTTGTGCCCTGAGGCTTTTCAGTTCCTGCTCCAGTCGTGTGCGCAGTCGCAGTTCGAGTGTCTCCCTCTTCTCGCACGCTGCCTGCAGCTGAGCCAGCGCGCTCTGCAGCCGCTCCACCTTCTCCACGTACGCTCTCTTCCTCTGCAGTTCTTCCTCCAGCTGCCGGTTGCGGGCCTGTGCCGAAACCAGAGCCTGCTCCAGCATCTCCCGTCTCCGCTGGCACTCCTCACCGGAGACGCGCAGGTGCTGTATCTGCCTCTCCAGCTGTTCGCGCTCCCGCTGCTGCTCTTCATCTAAGATACAGATAGGGTGGGAACAAGTGGTGAGTGGTGGTGGAGAGGCAAGTGACGTGATCCTGAAATATATGAAGTTGGTGGGTTATTACCTCTGACCCGATAGCCAATTGCTTAGGGCACATACAACATGGGCTGGATGTTATGCCTTTAATCTCTTTCCCTACATTTCCTGCCTCTATCTACTGTCGCCATCAAAAAAGGAATAAAAGGCCCCCCAAAAAATCTTCAAAAATAAAAAATAAGATAAAAAATATGCGTGGTTAGTGGTAATGTTAGTGTGAGGAAATCACAAACTCAGAAAAGTGTGTTTGTATTCTCACTGGAACAAGTTGCCTTCGATTTCTTTATGAATTAAACAAAAAAAAAATCACAACTTTTTTGCTAATTTTCACCTGCTACCGCAATTAATTTACCAAGAAACCCCAAAACAAACGACAAACGGCTTAAAATATTGCAAAATGCATTGTAATTTTTTTAGAAAAGCTGCTGTGAAATCAGGTATTTTAGGCCACAACAATCCCAAAAAAACCCTCAAAATCCTGCAGGTACAGAGGTCAAATGAATGCCAGAGAAGGATATGCTGTATATTAGGACCATTCAGTGACTACTGATGGGTCAGTGAGGCGCCACGTTAGCCCAGTGAGTTACATTTTGAATGGAATGTGACCCAACAAGAGACATGTACACTCTGCCATCAAGGCATGAGGTTCACTGACAAACCATTTGACACCACGTCTTCTAAAAATGAATCTCAGTGTTACAACTACTTGGCTGTACTGCAAACTTGAAATCAACATAATAAAATCTCATTTACTGATTAAAAACCAGTCCATGTTTTAATAGAAAAAACCTTATCGAAAGGAAAACCAGTTTATCTGTTGTGCCACTTTAAAAAGGGGGTTGATTACACAACATGAGTGCATGCCTGTGGAGGGAATGCAGACTTCCTCTTATCCACTTACGCACACAGGCATAGCTTTGTACTGGGAAAAGCTCTGGAATGCTTCAAGGGACGTGAAGTAAACAAGCAGCTCAGAATATAACTCAAGTGGTCCTTGTAACAAAGAAATATACACAACACATCCCACTATTGTGATTTAAATGTGGATTTGCTCCAGTTGTTTCAAGATAACTGTTGGAAAAGCAGATGGATAAAAGATCTTGATTTTGCAGCTCGAGAAAATCACATGGTTGTTTAAAATACCCAGGAAGGTGCATTTCATTCCAGCAGGGTAATGTGTAACAGAACAGTATGGCTGATTATGTAACAGCTTCATACTAATCTGTACTGTCAGATATGTCTACGCATGCTACAAAAATGTATTGACTTGAAAATGGTTCTTGGCAAACACAAAGACAAGTAAGCTGAGGCTAGTTGGATTTACTCTGCAGCACATCCCTGCACAGAACAGAAAGGGAGTAAAGAAATATTCACAACTGGCCAATCATGATTGAACCATGAGGTAAAGAAATGCCCAAACAAGGAAAGCGCGTGAGCCAGAGGTCATGTTGAGTTGGGCCTGGACGCCCTGGAGCCCCAGACTTATTAGTTCCCCTTGAGGAGGGGAAGTCAGCAGTGATGCAAAACTGAGCATGGGGGGAGGAGGTGAGGGGGAGGACGGCATTCCTAATGCCGAGACGGCCTGAAATACCTATAAAAATTCCTGGAATCCAGGCCACATTTACTACAGCTATGAAAAATAGCTGGCGTCTCAGTGTCAAGAGCAACTCTTAGCATTAGAGATAGAGCCATTTGTGTCCCGATATGTGGGACCGCAGCTTTTATAACACACCACCTCACTGAAGGAGGAAACCAATCCCTGCTGAACTATGTTCCTGCCATTGTTAAGTGCTTCACCCGGTAGAGTGATTTGTCAAATCGGATTTAAAAAGAAAACATCCTCAAGTCTTCCTATTCTTTTCTGTCAGACAGTTTGGCCCAATCCCAGTTATTTTACCCCCAACCCTTGTTTATAAGTCTCTTTGACACGCTGCACAAAGTTACAACAGGTAGTGGTTGAAATTTTCCTCTATCAAATGGGACAAGCCTTCAAGACCCTGCTCGATGGCGTTCGCATAAACAGACGTGACTATAGCAATAGCTCAACACTGACAATGTAACTAACTAAAACGACCTAAAATCTCAACCCTAACCCACTATTTGACTCTGTAGAAGACTTGTAGCCTTAACCTCAGGCTAATCACTAATCCTCAAGCAAGCTTGCGAAAAATGTTGGCAAATTTTAGCTAGCTAGCATTGCTAATGATTGCTAGCTAGCTAATAACGCTAGCAATTTGTACTACAATACTGTGGTCTATGTACTATAATCTAAGCCTGAGGTGCATCTTCCCCTATCTTACCAGTGATTATCATAATATATCATAATTTCAAAATCTTTATAAAATACATGTGTAAGTTTCTTTTGTTGCTCATGCAGCCATCTTGCTGAAGATTTCTCATAACACTTGGTTAGAATTGTGCCTCTGAACAACCTCCGTTCGGAGGGCCCTGTAGCCCCAACACCCTATCCCAACAAGAATCGAGACCCCACCCCTAGATGTGAAGGTGCAAAACGGAGGAGCTAAGCTAATAAAACACTGGTGTAGACATAAACTTACTTTGCTCCAGCAGTTTAACAAAGACGTGTTGTTTCTGGTCTGAACACTCGGCCTCCTTGGCTGCTCGCTGCTTGTTAGCAGAGTCAAGCTGATCTGTATAAAAACAAACATGATGGTTACACACACTGGATGACATTAAAAGCAATCTTTGCATTACCAACACATGAACAGGCACATACCTCTCAGGTCTCTGTTAAAATCATGCAACCTCTTAATCTCCGCCTCGAGTTTGTTCCTCATTGTTTTCTCCAGAGTTTCCCGCTTGGCAGAGCCTTTCATCAGAGTCTCATAAGCTTCAGATATCCTTTGAATCTCCAACTCCAACTGGGAAAAACATGTGAGAGGATGATCAGTCTCTGGGAGAGGCATCTACACTCACTGTCTGGGTTGTGGTTTATGTTTCAGTTGTTAATATCAAGAAGGGCAATTAGTCATCTGTACAAATGCATTCTTTCCTCTTTATTGCTGCCCCCACAGGCAAATGGCTTTTAAATACTATGCGCAACTGAAAAGTGGAATCAACATTCCTGAGTGAACACTTGTGAGTCCCAGGTGTCAAGGCATTTATCTCCTTTCATGGCAATATGCCAGCATGTTTGAAAGACAATGGGGGTATGATGTGTTGTAGGCATTCCAGAGGCTGGAGGGGGGAGAAAACTCAACACCTAAAGACCCAGACACACCAAACTGACATCAAACAACTACAGTAGTGGTGACGAAGGCTGACTGTTGGGTCGCCTCAAGTCATTTGTGTCTCAGCCAAATAGCTGCACTTGAAAACACCACCGAGACCACAGCAAACAGCCAACTAGCACGTACGTCCTGTGCCAGTGTGAGAGGAAATAGTCTGTATTCGTCCTTGAAAAAGGGAAACCGGAGGTCCAACTGGACAGATTCAAGGCGCTACTTAGCCAGTTAGCAAACTAATGATAAAACCTGATGTTGGGAGAACAAATGTTTACCGTGCACTTGTAAACAACACCACAAACAATTATGTACCATTTCTGGTAAAGAGCTCAATGGCTTAAAAAATAATCTAACCTAATATGATGAGTTTGTTGTGATTTAACACCCTCTTGATTTTATGGTGTGCTCAATTTGCATTGGGAAGTCAGAATTTTGAAGTTGAAATTCCAACTAGAGCGACTCCTAAAGTTGGATTTCCAACTCTGAAAGTCGAGGGAAACTCTTCGACCCTGACCTCAAAATCCAATGTTGTTGCTCCGTGCAGCGACAGTAGTAATATACTGCTTATTAATACTTCTGTCTTATTTGTGTCTCATTAAAACAGTCACACACACAGTCGTGTCCACAGTCTATCTGCAAACATCTTGATATGGTGTTTGTATGCGCAAGTTACAGCGTAATGCATTGTTTTTAACAGATATTGCTAACAATGGCTAACCTGGCTAGAATGGTATGGCTACCCACATCTAGGTTTTCCCACTTTTTGTACTGGAACGAGGTCAACTCAGGTGTGATATCATTCCCAGCTCCAACTTCCGAGGTGAATGGAACTCAGCATTAGTCGTTTGTTTACTTTCCTCACTTCCACTTCTCTTCTCGTGCACTGAGCTGACCTTCCAATGGGAGGGATTTCTCTCACTGATTGGCTTCACTGCTGATTCAATATTCTGAAATGGCTAAAAAGCTGGCCGACTGGTGCCAACAATGCTGTACACACCACAAAAACAAAGACAGATGCTCACATATGGCTCAACATATAGCGACTGCTGACCGCTGAAGGTGTCGGGGTCGTAACTGGTTGAGAAAGTCACAAACTATTAAATAAATATGATAAAAAATTATTTTGTCTACGTTACTCCTCCATGAAGTGAACCAGCCACTAGGATCCCTCTCCTCAGCTGCCAGACAACTTATCACCCTGACATGTACTGGCAAGGAGCTATTGTTTTTTACGATTTCAAAACCCTCTATGAGCCAACAGCTCCATTCATCACGCCACCTTCTTCTCTCACCTTCTGCAGCCTGGCGGCCTTCTCGGTGTAGACCTCCAGCTCCTTCCTGAGGCGCTCATTCTCCCGCATCAACACGTCGCTCTGAGCTGAGTTATTGCTGGAGACTGCAGCGATGCTGTTGTGAGCCGCCTGGGACTGAGCAGACCTGCTGAGGAGAGGCATGAGTAATACATTACAACAGTGCTGAAAACCACCTTGGAAACACTGACTGAAAATATTGTCTGATGTTTACTTGGCTGCATTTTATCTGACATCCAAACTCAGTGATAATTCCACAGTGTGGTCCATCTGTTACCTGTGATGCTGGGAGTAGAAGGGGGGAGGAGGGTCTCTGTAGTACTGTCCGTGCTCCTGTGAGTGGCTGAGCATGTATCCAGGAAGTCTGGCAAACAGAGGGTAGTCTGGGGGTGGCCCACGCTGTTCCACACACTGCTGGGCCCCTTGCCTGTCAGCTGCCACAGCGTTTGCAACATTATTATACAGCTGTGGATAGCTGTGCGAGGAGCTCATAGCAAGACTGTCTCTTAGTCCGTTCCTGTCCAGAGAAAGCTGCATGAGCCTCTCACTGAGCGAGCGAGCGTGCTCCCTTTTCAAATCCCACTGCCCCTCACTGTGGCTCCCCATTATGTCCATGCTGGGTGCTTCCTGCACTGCCTGCCCCTTCTGGGAGATCAGGTACTGGGAGTGGGCCTTTGCCTCCTCATAGGTGGGCAGCTCCTCTCCATGGAGCTGGTACAAATGGCACACCTGGCTCTCAGAGTGCAAGCAGTCCCCCTGGTGCTCCTGGCCTTGAGGCTCCTGTCGTGTTGACATCTGGATGTACTGGGTCTCCTCCTGAGTCAAGCTCTCCAGAGAGGAGCGAGGGCTGCCGGTGCCTCCGCCGCCGCTGCTGCTGCCTCCGCGCAGGGCCTGCTGCTGGATAGCCAGAAGTGTGCGAGTGTCGGTCAGGTTCCCGTAGCGGAGCTGCTCTTGGATGAGACGGTGCAGGACCGTTCCAGATGAGCCTTCAGCGGTTCTCATGTCAGTCAGAAGGAAATGAATGAAAAAAAAGCAGCCTGGAGGTGGCAGCTGGGCTCTTCACAAATCACACGTCTAAACAAAAGACAACAATCTTGATCAGACTCAGCACTTCACAACATATGTTACATTTTATCTCATGAGCCCAGTATTTTTTCAAGGCTGTTATCATCAAAACCATCTCTAACAAACGTGTTTCAGCTATGAGCCACAGGGAGAAGCCAACATTCCTCTCAATTAATTTACTAACCCTTCTACTGCACAATGACTTTAGCTGTGAGTGCATGAGTTGCTGCTGGAAATACCCCTGAAAGTGATGTCAGTGCAGATCCAGTTTTATTGCCAACAAACTTTATAGCATAACTTTCCCAAGCCAGACAGAAGTGTAATGCTGTTACAGTTACTATAAACATCGCAGACTTCCCACAACAAAATTTGACATAAAAACTATGATCCTGAGGAAACATACTGAATCATGCAAAATGCCTCATTAAGAAATCCTGTTCTCTAAAAGCTCCTTATGGGAATTATTATAATAAAATCCTCCTGAGAGGCTTTAAATTGACCAGAAACTCAACTTTGTGAGATTAATTTAATTTTTCTTTTGGGATATCTTTGGAAATCAAGATCCAGCTCAGTAAATGCGGTGCTCTTTACTAGATTAAATGAATAAATTGGACTTTAAACAACTTGAAAACGCACATAGTTAATCCACAATACTGCGCCATGCAAACAATCGGTGCCTGTGAGACTTCTCGCTCTCATCCAAACACAACGGAGATAAATCCAGGGAAATAAAAATGTAAAACTCACCAAATTAAAGTCTCATCACAGTCGGAACAGTTAAAGGTGGTTTAATCTCAGAGTATGCTGCGCTCAGTTCAACAATGTCCACAAGTTTCCTGATCCTCTTCCTGCGGTTTCCTCCATGAACGTGTGCGCACTGACTGGTAGCAGCAGACTGAGCGGACAGAGGCTGAGCTGCACGAATAAATAACTGAGGGCCGATTGTTCGCTGCGGCTGGAATGACTGGAATGTAAAGGCTCCAAGTCCCTGTGGGATCAAAAGCAGAGCACAGGAGAGGAGGAGGAGAGGGTGAGGGGAGGAGGAGGAGGAGGAGAGGAGGAGGAGGAGGAGGAGGAGGGGGCAAAAATTGGATTGAGAGCAGCAGCACATTACCTCAGCTGGCTGCTTGTATCATGCAAAAGAGTTTGTTGTTGTGTTGTGTTTTGAGGAATTTAAAGTCCCTGCTCCTAATGTTATGGAGGTTCAAGTCCTTACAGTCAGAGGTACAACACAGGGATGTTACTGCAGACTGCAGGGGATTAAAAACATCACAAAATTCAGTAAACATTACAACCTAACTGTCATAAAGGTTTTACCAAAGTACTTTAGGTATGTATCATCAATAAAAACAGCTCAAAACAGCTTTTACAGTAAATCTGGTGTGTGTCTACTGTCTATCCTGCTTTTATCAATTTTATTATTTTATTCATACACAGTTTGATTTATCTAGTCTTAGCCTATGTTCAATGTTATTGCCGTTTTTATTGTGATGGTGTATTGTTTTATTTGTCCCATAAAGCACTTTGTAGCTGTGTTTTGAAAAGTGCGACACAAATACAGTTTATTATTCTTATTATTAAAATAAAAGTGATATTTGACAAACACTGACACACAGTCTCAATCTCTCATCACAAAAAAAGCCTATGATAACTGAAAAGATTTTTGTTACTGATTTATTTAGGTTATTTACAGAAGCATTCACTTGGAAAAATCATTTCATTGATAAAAAAGTTGCTTGTTTTTCATAAATAACTAAAAATTAATCTCGTAAAGATTATTGTCTCAGATTTATGAGGAATGTTTCCATGGAAAAAAATGGCTCTGTTTTTCTAAAGATTTTCAAGATTTTCTCAGAATTATATATATATATAAAAAAAAAGTTTTATGAAAAGTAATTGCTATTTTTTAATGAATCAATTGGATTAATAATCTTTCCAATTCTCGTTTTCCTGAAAAAAAAAACAAGATTATGATCTTCTTAATTCAGAAAAACAGAACAGGTTTTTTATCTCAGGTGAATGCACTGCACTTCCATATCCACTGAAATATCTTTTAGTCTATAAAATGTCAGAAAATTGTGATAAATACTCCAAAAGCCCCAGAGTGATGTATTCAAACTCTTTGTTTTGTCCAACCAAGAGTCCCAAAACCCAGAGTCTTTTGGAAAACAAAGAAAAACAGCAAATTCTTACATTTGAGAACCTAAATAACAAAACAAAAAAACAATTTTGCCGAACAAATGTCCCAAATCATCCCCAGTTTTAAAAAGAATGTTGGTGAATACTATTTTGCTCAACTAATGGAATTTTAAACTGATAATGACACTATAAATGTTGAACAGATATGTTATTGAACAGAGAAGTTATTATAATTTGTGATAATTAAAGCTGATATACCATGTGTGGTGGATTTTACCTACACAGACTTGGTCAGAGATGTTATTATAACTACAGTGATGAAAAAAGTGCAGTAATATAATTGAGACATGGATAAATCATTATTTCTTAAGCAGCCTTTTGTTTGCATGTGCCTGGTAAATATTTAAGCCGTGGCCCGTGCCAGTTAATTGCAGAGTGTGTGTGTCTGTGTGTGGACACGGAGGGAGAGGGGCGGGTGTGAGGCACGCTGCCTGCCAGCTGTCCGTGGACAGAAATCCTCTTCCCCTCCTTTAATAAGAACTCTGAGAGATGCATTGTTCTCCCCCAAAAAGCAGACATGACGGGGGCAGCCCTGCCATCTGCTGTTCTCCCCTCCACCACTAGCTATACGCTTCATTCACACTCACACACATGTACGTGGATGGAGACCCTGGGATCAGCTGGCAGTGGGGGTTGGGCAGTAGTATTGGATAGTAATGTCATTGATTACAGCCTCTTCTCTTTTTTTTGCATGAAAAGGATCATCCTGATGGTGGTGGAGGTTGTTGGGTGTAAACAAGTCTCCTCTTGTTAAGGCGGTGCAGTCCGTCAGCAGAAAAACTGCAGGTTCCTTTATCTCTCAGGCAAACATACACCTGCTGATTTGCATGGCAGTTGAAGTCCAACAGTTGCTGAAGAATGCTGATTACCTCAACAACTGATAAGAATCTACAGGTTTTGTCATTTCAGGATTCATCTGAGTCGACACAATAGGCAAGAGGTTTAAAACACCTTTCATTGTGTTGCTTTATGGACCAGGATTTTATAATGTACAGCACTGCAGCTTGCTCAAGGATTAGCTGGACAGTTTGCTCATTCGCTTATTTGACTTTAATAAGAAGCGTGATATTCTCTTACGGGACAATATTCTGGTATCAGAAGTGTTCTGTTTTCAGTTTGTGGTCTGAGAAGTATTGACTACTCACATTTGAGCAGGCTTTGGTTGCATGTACAGCGTGTCTTGAGGTTCTTAATGTGCTAAATCCATTTTTAAAAATATATCAGACCTCAAAAGTCATCACATAGTCTTAAAATCTATTGAGTAGACAAAATGAACCTAATTACACTTGAAATTTAATTTGTGTTGTCTCAATTGCCACAAAAAATGTATCTAATCTAATTTATCCATCGTTTAATTTATTTTTAGGGCGCATTCACACCGGGATAGTCCAGGGGACTCAGTTCGATTGGGTGGGGAATGAAAAATTTCACACTTTCATTTAGTTCGGTTCACTTTCACACTGCACTTTTTAAAGCGGACCAAACCGCTTGGACAACATCACGCAGTTACAACAGCTGCTCGTTTGGGGGCAGTATTGCCCGAAACGACCACTGACCAGGAAGGGAAAAAGCATGAGGAAGAAGAAAACCTGGCTCATTGATTGGCCAGGACCGAAAATAGAAATCCATCCCCTCCAGCCGGCTTGGTCACCACAAAAGCAATGGAGCAACACCAATTTTATATGCCTGCACCTCCTCACTACTCCACGTCTGCCCAGGAGACATTTTCCAACTTTTTCTTTTTTTTACCTCTGCTTCTCCCGGTTCGCACTGTTGGCTTTGGTATTTTTTCTGCCCCAAACCGCACTGCGCTCTACATCACTTCCTCTCTTTGGTTCACTTCCTCTCTTTGGTTTGCCGGATAGTCCGTTTGCATTTCCCACCGTAAGCGAACCGCACCAGGGATTTGCAAGTGAACCGAGACCCCCAGTTTTCAAGTGGACCAGGGTTCACTTGTTTGGTCCACACCAGAGTTCCAATGAGTGTTCACACCACTTCAAACAAACCAAACTATCCGTTGAAGCAGACCAGGGTTTGTTTAAAGCAGACCAAATAGAGCCAGCGTGAATGCATCCTTAGTCAAAATGAGTCAAGCTCTTCTGTGTGAACGTCCACATTTTTGTATCTTTAAACCTGCATCTGAACCTTATAATTCAGACTTGCACTTACCTGTTGATGAGGGAACTGGAAGTGCTAAAATGCTAAGTCATCTCCGAGTTTTAGGACTCATTCTTGCACCACTCTATTGCCCCTGGCCAAGAAACAATTTGGCACATAAAACTTGAGACCACAGACTAATCTAACTCTCTCTAACAACAAGAAATTCTGCATAAAACCTGCTGCTGCACAGAATCACATATATACAACTCACCCTTACACTTACCTGCAATGCTTAAATAAGGAAAAGATTTGCTTAAAAACAGTCTTAAATTTGGTGAATATTACCTTGAAAGATTTTAAAAAGCATGAAATTTAAGCGACTAGTACCTGTAGACACCCTGAATGTAGGTAAACAGAGTGTGTGGAGAGCAAAAGAGGCAACTGAAATTGTACTAAATTGAATTTCCCAAAGTTGATCTAACACACCCAGATAATGTGACTGGGAGTCGATTGGACCCAAACTAACCAAGGTGCTCTGAACATGCTTCTCTGTTTCCACCCCAAGCTTTGACCTAGACAAAAAGCCAATGGGATTTTTCCATTGGATTTTGGGTTATTGCAGAAGATAAGATCTGTTCATGTTCAGCAAAACAATCGTCATGTAAATGCAATCGCCAGAGGGAAGAAGCTAATGTTACTCGATAAATGAACTACACACAGTTGCATGACTTCAACATCACCGTCACAACAAGACTGCACAGCCGTGTTGGTCTCATTTAGCCATTTGTTAGCAACTGCCTTTTAAGGATGCAAGAAAGCTTCAAAATTCACGAGTGTAGTATTTACTGACGTATTTTATGTCGTAGAATGAAACGTGAAAGTCTTTTCAGCTTGCGTGAACCACAGACCATATTTCAGACATCTAACCAAAAACCCTTTGACTTTAAGACGAGGGGGATGGGAGTGCAAACATGCTAACTCATTTCCAGGATTTAGGACTTATTTCTGCACCTCTCTATTGCCCCAGGCCAAGAAATAATTTGGCACATAAAACCACTTGAAACCACAATTTGTCTTTCTTACACTTCTGTTTTTGTACAGATTTTAAAAAAAATGAGACATAAGGTGTTAATTACATCAACATGTTGACGGAGTCAGGCTAACTGTTTCCCCCTGCTTCCAGTCTTTATGCTAAGCTAAGCTTTATGCTAAGCTAAGCTAACTGACTGTAGCTTTATAACAGATATAACAGTGGTATCAATTTTCTTATCTAATTCTTAGCAAGAAATTGAATAAGTGTATTTCCCAAAAGTATTTTTTTAAAGATTTGATGAAGACAAAATAAAGATATCAGCACCAATGGGCCACATTAATCTCACATAAGCCCTGCGTTATGTCATTCAATCAAGTTTAATGGACCTCACAAAGCATTTCTGTTGAGCTGTGTCATCTTCAGCCAACATGACTCACGCGTGTCATTTACACTGTGGATAAATGTGTCGTCAATATGTGGGATCTGTTTGGTGTGGATTGCTGGCAGGCTGACCAGAAGATCTAAAACTGATGAACAGGATGTCATTTGTGATCATTTTCTGATACCTAGGGTGTCATGTTCTGTT